GTGTTTTTTTTTTTTTTTTTTTTTTTTTTTTTGTGTAAAATGTGGATCGAGGTTGATCCCGATATGAATAAAATGAGTGTATTGTGCTTTGTTGTTTTATGGTATTTTATTTTATTTATTTATTTATTTATTTAATTTTTTTTGTTTGGGGAAGTGAAAACCGTGTGAATGGTTCACATGGGGCTGTCTCCCTTGTGTGATAAAATAATAAAAAGAAAGGTGGGTGTGTGACATATAGGCCTCTGTGGGAGTTCTGTGGAAGAATTATTTTATTGGAGAAGGGAAGGAATTAAAAATTAAAAGAAATAGATAAAAGAAAATCACGTGGGTGCAAGTGTGAAAGCTGGTTTGGTGAGGAAAGGAAAAGGAAGTGGAGTGTCAGATCCACTCACACTTGTTTTTGTGTTTTTTGCTTTTAAACAAACATGGCTCTCATAGAGAGAGAGAGAAATCGGTCAAGTGAGATTTGAGATTCACCAACTTGATCAAAGAATGTGAAGAGCGCATTGCAGGGGAAAATGGTGAGGTACCCAGTCAATCGCTGGATCAAACTTCAACTAGTGCTACAGCCGGTGAAGCCGGGTGTCGGCGGAGATGTGATTGTGTCGGAGGCGTCGCTGGCGGCCTCCGCCTCTGTTGGTGGTTCTTTTGGCGGTGGCCGTGGAGTTCCGGCGACGGCATTGTTGGTTGTTCAGACCGAGAGAGAGAGAGAGAAAAGAGAGAGAGTAAAGAGAGAGAGAGCAGCCTGTGGGTTGGAAATAATGGAGGTAGCATGCTTTCCTTGTCATGGAACATTTTTGCAGAGAGGTGCCTGTTGAGGAACTCAACTCCATTCCCAATTGACTTTGAAAGAGTTGGGCTTTGAGAAATTCAAGGAGTGGGTGAGGCTGAAGGTGATGATTCAACAAGTTCTTCTTTGAAATGAAGATACTCCGGGACGCTCAACTCCTCAACCGAATAGCAAATAGCAAGAGCAACCCATGGAGAGTGTATTCCCAGACACCGGGCCTCAACCGAATAGCAAGAGCAACCCATGGAGGCAAAACTATTGCTTCCTGGGCAGATTTCAGAACCTCTCTTGTTTTGTTATGCCATTTGTAGCCTTGAATTCACGAACATAAAGTTTGTTATTGGGCCCTTCACCCTTTGGCTTACTGGTTAGGAAATCAATTGAAGAGAACATGTATAATATTATGAAGGAAAGAAGAGGGCCGTGTCACTATTTGCCATGCATGTGTCAAATTGAAGCGCTTATCTCTATTTAGGTGTCAGAGATTGTCTAGTTTGTGGTAACACTTATCTGCTACATTTCTGTAAAAATTTATGTATTATTGATTGTTGTGTTGATACATATTCTGTCTATTACAAATGGTTCCTTATATAGATGCAGGTGTAGTGGATAGTGTATAGTGGATGGTGATAGTGGTGTAGTGGGTTAGGTTTAGTGGAGTAGGTGAAGTGGTAGTGGTGTAGTGGGTTAGGTTTAGTGGAGTAGGTGAGGTGGTAGTGGTGGTAGGTGATGGTAAATTCTAACAATTTCCATAAGTCAAGAGTTCTTAATTTCACTGCAAGACATAATTTTGCAACTTCTATGGAGCCTGTGACTAAAATGAGGGGATGAACTGCAAACATGAATGTCGAATATAAAAAATGACAACTTGAGTAATTTCAATTTCTTCTTATACTATATTTTTATTTTTTTATTATCTTGCTTTATTTTATACAGAGTGTTTGATGAACATTTATGAAACTGTTGTATATGTACACCTGTAGGAGGTCTCAACTGGTGTCTCAAAGCTTACAAGAGAATCATCTGGTCAATACAGTGACTTCAGCATCCTCTCTTCCTTGAATTCTCAGGTGTGTTTTATTTTATTTTTCTAATCTTTTCCTTCTGTTATTCAGAAACTGCATGCCCTAACCCATGTTCTTCTTCTACTGTGAAGCTGTTTGAGAGCTCAGCATTGATGAACATATCTGCAGTTAAATCACTTCTTTCTGCACTATGTCAGTTGTCACATCAATGTGTGACAGAAACTGTAAGTGGTTTTGGACAAGTATCAAGTCAAAAAATTGGAAGCATCAGTTTTTCGGTGGAGAGAATGATATCCATCCTTGTCAATAATCTTCACAGTAAGGAATGAGTTTGCATGAATTTCTTATGGATAGCTTTGTTTTTATTTTGCTTTCCTCTTCTTTTCATTATGAGTCTTATCCGCAATTTTGCACTTGTATTTTCAAGAAATTATATTAAGTTATTTTAATGTAAAATATATAATTTAGGTGGATTAGTTAAATTATTTTTTTAAATTCTCTAAAATTTGATTAAGATATGTATGCTAATACCCAAATGTTATATATGTCTTGATTGGATTAAATTTGTATTTCCAGTATGTCATCCAACTCTCTACTATGTGTTGTGTAGAATTGATGGGATTTGGGTTTGAACTCCAATCTTGGTATGCAGTAGATATGCGTTTAAGAATTTAGTGCTTCCCATAGGCTTTATGAATTATACTTGGGGTTCTCAGAGATATCTTGTTTTATTGCACACCGTAAACTATTATTGTTGTGTCATTCTTGTTTTTAGATTTTTAAGATAATATTTCTGTTGTTTGATGTTGGTTGTTTGCTATATTTGGTGCATACCCTGGGCATAGTTCGATGCTGGTGCTACCTATTTTTGTCTAAATAAGAAGTTTTTTCTTATTTTGAGCAGTGAAGTTGGTAATTTTATGTATAAAATTATTCACATTTTGCCATGAAATAGGAGAGTGTTTCAATGTAATTTATATCCTGTCTTTCTCCCATTTCGGGGGAGAAAGAGGGAAGGGGATTTCCTTCAAGAAATGCCCTAATTGATCCCCCTTCTGGTACCGAACGTGGGTCAGAGTCACGGCCTTCAGCGAAGGGTTTCCCATATATATATATATATATATCTAGAGAGAGAGAAAGGGAGAGAGAGAGATGGATGTAGAAGAAAGAGAAATACTAGCAGAGATTTGGCTTTGGGTTTGGGCTAGAAGAAGAAACACCAAAATTATCATCTGGTCCGGGGGCAAAGGTGAAAAATAGGACACGTGTAGACCACAGCATAATAAAAATAGGACAACACAAAATTGTTGTCCCTACCATTCTCTTCACCAATTATAACACTCACGGACACGACTTGACTATACCCAGAACCGCCAAATAACTTCTCAGAAACACCTTCAATTTTAATTTTTTAGATAGAGTAATGATTCATCCCCTTTTCCTCCCACCCCTTTGACCGCCTCTCTCTCTCATTGGTTACCTTTTCTTTTTCTTTTTCTTTTTTTTCCTGCTCCTCCAATCACCCCCTGCCACATGGCAAAGGGGGGTGAGGGGTGACCCCCAAAAGGGGATCCCAAGCATTATTCTTTTTAGATAAATTACACTCAAAAATGCTCCCTACTTCCACTGGGGGTCGACCCCCAGTGACACGTCATTGGGGGATTGGCCCAAAAAAAACTGTTTTTTTTTTTTTTAAGTTTTCGGCCAGTGGGGGCGCGCCACGTCACTGGGGGCGCGGCCCCCACTGGGTATGCAGCGCGGTTGAAATTACACCCATTTGAGAAAAATATAAATATATTTAGACCTCGTTTGGGAACAGGTTAATTTAATAACTTTTTTACTATTTGACTAAAATATGAGTTAAAAAAATTAGTATATTTGAAATGATTTTTTGACTTTTTACGAAAAGATGTGCAAAAAATAAAGAGAAAAAATAATCTTTGACTTTTTGATATGAGTCGTTGACTTTTTAGTTTTTTTAGTAACTTTTTGACTTTTTCTCTAAAAAAGTCACTTGCCAAACGAGGCATGTCCCCGTTTGAAAAGTAGGTTGGCTTTTTAGCTTTTTGACTTTTTTAGCTATTTTAGCTTGGGCCAAAAAGCTTGTTTTGGGAAGAACTTTTTGACTTTTTTAGCTTTTTATGTCAGAGAAGAGTAATGACTATGAATTGGATGTGAGTTTTGTTTGTTGTGACTAAAATAGTCTATTTTGTCTTTTGTAGTTAAAATAGTCAAAAAAGCTCTTGCCAAACGGAGCTTATGTTTGGTTTTGATTTTTTAGCTAAAAAACATTAAAAAAAAAATTAGCTATATAAATCAATAAAACAAATAGGTGTTTTGGGAACTTTTTAAGAAAGTCCGTTTTTTCACTTTTTAACTTTTTTATTCAAAAAAGCTAAAAGTCACACAAAAAAATCAAAAAATCAACTTTTTACTAATTTTCTAAAACACCACAAAATATTATATTTAAACCATAATCATTACACTTTTTATCTCACAAAAGTCAAAAAAGTTATGAATAAAAATCAAACGAAGCTAAAAAAATCAAATTAAAAAGTCAAAAAATCAAAAAAATTAGACTATTTTAACTCTTCCAAAACGAAAGTTTCATAGGTAATTCACACTTGTCCTCCTATTTGACAATTTTTCCACTTTCGTTCTTAAAAAACAAGAGTAAATTACACTGACACCCCTTAAGGTTTATGTTTATTACAATTTCCCTCTCACCTTTTGGAAATTAAATCTCCCCCCTGAGGTTTAAAGTTTCATTACAAATTTCCCCCTTTAGCAATTTAATTTTTTTAAATACCAATTTTGCCCTTATTGGATAAATTATATTGACACCCCTCACATTTTTAAAATTATAATCCCCTCCCTAAGGTTGAAAGTAGCATTGCCAATTGCCCCCTCGGTTAGTATTAGTTGAAAAAAAAATTCATTGGAAAAAAAATTAATTGAAAAAATTTTTTGTTAGTAAAGTTTTTAAATTTCTGTTTAAAAACCAACGTAACCTCATTTTTTGAATTTATATTTTTTCCTCAAATTTATAAACTGAGACAACCTTTTATAAACCAAAAATATTATTGATTAAGGCCGAATTATACATCATTGAGGCCGTTAATTAGAATCTTTTAACTTCACTTGTTAGTCAAACTGTATACTTTATGTGTGTTGAATGTCAATTAGGTTGTATATAGTCGGAGCATAAAACGGGCAAAAAGACAGAATATAGAGAGAGTTAACTTTCCCGCACGTGCGTTGACTTTTCCCGCACGTGTGTTGACTTTTTCTGGAAAATTGTGCCCAACGTTTTAAACATGTTTAGAAGGGATCAGAAGTATAAAAAGGCAAGGAAAAGGCTGGAATAGGGTTCTGAACTTGTTTTGACCTAAAGAGAGAGGCTAGGGTTTGAAAGGGAAGAGGAACTTGAAGCTTCAAGGATGTCTCCCATGATGGTTCCTTCTCCATCTACCTCATTTCACTCCTCCATGAGTGGCTAGTCTCATTTTCTAGGGTTTTGATGAAACCCTAGGCATGTAATTAGTTTTTCTTTTTTGATTTTTAATTATGTAAAGGCTTGAACATTTGTATGGTGATTTAGAAGTTTCTTTTATATAATTTTCATTATTTCTTCAAGTATTCGGCTTTCTGTGATTGTTGAATGTTTTCCATACAAGAATTCTCTATTTCTTTCACATTCAAGGTATGAGACGAACCATACTACGAGGAACGAGTCGTGTCACTACCTTAGTTTAGAGTGAACGATTCGTACTACTTGAGATGGTTCGTGCTCGTACATTGAATGTGATGATCTTCTTGTTAAATGCTTTGAGTTTGTAGTTGCGAAACATTAATCTGTTCAAACCATAGCATAATTGATTTCAATTGGAAACCCTTTTTACATGACTAGTGGTGGACTCTTTACCCTAGGGTTTTTCTCCAAATCAGTAAACCCAATTTCATTTATTATTGATAATTTAATTTCTTAGTTTAATTTATTTGTTATTAAATTAAGTTATGAACAATCAATCTTTTTATCAAAATTAATTTAGGAATTTAACAATTAAATTAGTTTAATTTCACAATTGTCCCTGTGGATCGATACCTGGACTTGCCATTATTCTAAAAGAATTTAGTGTAGTTTAGTGTTTATTTTTGGTGTGTTAAACGACCCATCAAATTTTGGCGCCATTGCCGGGGACTTCTGGCAAAATTAGTTAATTTAAAGTTACATTCTTATTTTAATTTTTAGTTTAGGATTTTATGCTTTTGTGTTGCTAAGTGTGCAGAGCGTTTGAAATTGGAGCTATCACCGAAGTGCAAGCGGAGTGCAGCCGAGCTTTAAAAATATATAAAAAAAAAAATGCAGCACTAAAGTGAGTAAACAGAAACAAACACTCACAAGCAAAGCACCAAAGTGCTAAAACGAAAGTCAAGGCTCAAATAGAGGTTGGAGACAACGTCTATACGTCAAGCATCCGCAAGACGAGTAAAGCGTTTTCGTTGAATCGCTGTGAGTATTTCTCCTTTGGCATTCTGCTTTCGTAACTTAGTGCACGGAGTCGAACTTTTTGTGTGTGTGTGGGTAGTGTATGCATGGGCGCCGTTCTTGTCGCCCTGAATTGTGGAGTTTGGATCTTGAACTAGAAAGGACTCTTAGGAGACTTAGGGCTTCTGCCCGTGTTCCTAGGCTTGAGTATTCATATTCATTTATTAAGCCATTAGAGATGGCAAATCTTGATGTCCTGAATGTGCCTAACCGGACCCTTAAGGATTATTTCACACCCACTGCATATACATCACCATCATGCATCCAATTACCCAACACCACTGCTGCTCATTATGAGATTAAGTCCAGCACCATACAAATGCTCCCATCATTCCATGAACTAACTCATGATGACCCTTATAAGCATTTGAATGAATTTCTAGAAATTTGCTCGACAGTGAGGATCCAGAATTTCACAAATGAGGCCTTAATGTTGTGATTGTTTCCATTCTCATTAAAGGATAAATCCAAACACTGGCTGAATTCCTTACCTGTCAATTCAATCACAACTTGGGACCAATTGCAGCAACGGTTTTTGGAGAAGTATTTTCCTATAAGTAAAGCCAACCAACTTAGGCGAGCCATCACAAACTTTGCTTGAATGGATGGCGAGCAATTCCATGAGACGTGGGAAAGATTTCGAGACCTTCTCTAACAGTGTCCCCACCACCAAGTGCCTGATTGGCAACTTGTTCAA